GCAAAAATAACATCTGGCCACTCTGACGATAACCCTCCCCCCCACCACCACCACCACCCCACACACACACACACTCCTCAGTGGCAGCAGCCAACAGATTTTGTTTCAGATGTGTGAGCAAACAGCGACAGCGGCCACGCACATTGAGGGCAAAAACCCTGGGGGCAACTTAACGGAAAGAGCCGGGCAGGAGCTGGGGAGAGGGCTGGAGTGGGGACGTGCTACTCCCAACATTCCCAAGGCCTGTGGGAATCATGGATCGTTTTGCCTCAAGTTTACTCTCTTACTATGACAAGGTAGGTCCTTTCACACAAACCTCCAACACGAGTGGCACAGCGAGCACTCAGTGTCTTCAACTCTCTTTAGCTGTTATGGAGGTTAAGGGACTTAAATAAGATGGAGAGACAAGTAGGCAGGCTCTTTGATTTCCTATAGGCATTTGGCGCAATTCCCAAATGCAAATTAAACTATTATTTTAAGATATAGGAACAACCTGAATATTGACTAATGTCAATGTCACCTGATAATGGTACAAGGCCTGATTTACATAACCTCCAGTACAGAGAGAGGGACTGACCGGGACAGCTATCCAGGTCCGCTGCTAAGACTGAGAGAAATTCTCCTGTGAATGGGTTAAAAAAAAAGTCAAAGTATGTTTTTTATTTTCCTCCTTTCTCTCATTTGCTTTATAAAGAGCAGCCACTGGTTATTCAGATGGGCTCACTGCACAGCACATACAGTACATCTTACAGTCACCTGCACTTCAGGAAATGGAATCTGGGCATTCTGCATTGGCAAACATCTGCAGGCTAGCAACCTCTGCTGCTAAGCTGCAGTCAATGGCACTTGCCAATTCCCCTTGACTTAATTCACCAGAATTTACACATTTACTGAAACACGCACTACCTGTTACATAGCTGAGTCAAGCAGATTTCTGACAGCGGCTCAAAAGATTCATTGCCAGTTTAGCACTAGCTCGGTCAACTAAGAGCTGGGAAATGACCACACCTTCACGGAGAGCTGTAAGTATTTAATTAACAAGGGCACAGTCAGAAGGCTCGTCCAGAACCACATCTTGCTCGCAATGGCTCCACGCTGTAGCGCATCTCACATTTGATTAATATTTCCTCATCTTTATAAAGTTTTTATAAAATGAAATTCTCAAAAACAGCCTTCCTGCCTTTCACCTTTTGTGTCTTTCCCGACGCCAACTGTTTTTTTTTTTTTTAAATCCTCCCTTTGCTGTTGAAAGGAAACCAAAATCAATTGCAGCATGAAGGGCAAGATCACTGGCCAGGGTAGGAACAGGGAGAGCGAGTTCTCAACCTGGCTCCACGTGAGAAGTTATTGCCCGGCTGTGTTGTTCCAAATGACAGGAATCTAACACGACAGCAGAAAAACAGACAGCGCGATTACTGACAGGCACCTACCCCCCCTCACAGGTAGGTCACCGTCTTCCTTAAAAACATGTTTTACACCAAAAACTGAAAAGGGGGAGATTAAAACAACTGGGAATATTGTGTAACAACAACAAACCGGTACAAAAGACTGCATGAAATCTTAGCTTCCCTCAGGATGTAATCCTGTGAATGAAGAGGCAAAGGAATATCCCACTGCTACAGCAGCTAGACTTAAAGCGTTTGCCACATTACTGCATTTGGACCCAAGCTGAACACACACACATACATGATGTTGTACTACACAATTCTGGAGAAGCACAGCCCCTGTTTTAATGTTGTTCACTTTTCAGTCCTTTCTTGTTTTGTAATGCAATTAAAATGGACAACAAATAGTCACAAAGACATATTTGGCACAATACAATCCAGGATAAACATCTATGTTGTCTGAGCCGAAAATGTGAATTGCCATTTTTTGAGGCAGCCTGCACTGCGTGTGCATAACATAACGATAAACGTTTTCTGAATATGACCTCTTCTAAAAGCAAAATGAGAATTAGTGCACACACTATTTTCACAAACTCGCTAGTCCACAGCCTCCGTACACTAAACTACCTACCTGATTGTGAAACTTGGTCTTTTTAAAAAGATGCTGGAAAAAAAGGCAGACATTATTAGCATTTAGGGCACAGGGGAAAAAAAAACTGACAACTCAGCTGATTTTGTTCTCTAAGTCTCAGCTTTATTGCGCTGTTAAAAGCGAGGATTACTGAGGTCATTAGGCAGCATTGTCTCTGTGACATGATTAGTCAGGTAGCAAAGTCCATTTGTCACCTGCACCAGCAAATTGAGTTAATACTGCACTACGGGCTATGGGGACTGTATAATATCAACTTGATTACATCAAAGCAGCTGCGAACTTGACACCTTACTGAATTTGTCGGCATTAATCGTTAGGCCTGTCACAAATCCATCAGGTTTGCAGATAATTAGGGGCTCTGCTAATGAAGCTGGCGAAACAACCTTACCTTTTCTCTGATAATTACGAAGCCCCTGCACTAGCAAAGGGCTGTGCTCGCCAGTGGGCTCGATGGCACATGTAGGATTACAGGAGCTGGAGTGCTCCCTACCTTCCCCTTTCTCTGTAAACTAAAGCTGCCCTGCACCCCTTAGCCCGAATTTACCCCTCACCGTCCGATCAGTTATTTTATACAACCATCTTCTCGGAGGCATAAGAACAATTATCAGTCATTCTAATGGAACCGGAAGTGAAACAGTCACACAAACATGAATCCGCGAGGATAAGGCTGGGAAACAGTTTAGATTCCAGCAGCAAAAGGCCTTTTTAAAAAAAAAAAGATGTTAAAAAAAACTACAACACAGCACTACAGATTTTCGGTGTCTCGTCGTCAGATTAGCTGCGTGTGACAGAAACAGATCCATTGAAAAACACATGCTTGTGTTCCTGGTGTTGAGCAAAGAACCAAATACATTTAAAAACACAGGCAGACGTAAAGAAACTGGTTTCCCCTCACCAAAGTGAAAGCACCCCTCCACTGCCTTTAACAACACTACCCTGCAGTCCTGTTATTTGCTGAGTTAATGGAATTCTGATGGCTTCTGAGTGAATTCTGATGCTCTCGTGCTCTGGCTTGGCGAGTTACTACTATTTTGAACTCTTTCTTTTTTTTCGCCGCAGTAGTAGAAATTTGCCCCCGTTTCACAGTCCCCTCTGCCGTGGATGCGTTTTCCCGAACCCACCCGCGTCTGAGAATTTTTTTTACAAATAAAAAAAATAAATAACAGATGACTCAGTCACCAGCTCCTTGCAGCCATCAACTTTTCAGCGTTTTGATTAAGTATGCCAAATGTCGTGTAGAGGAAAGAATGGAAACACTGTGCCTGCCAACTTTTGATTGACCATTAAAGCCAATGATGTATATGCCTGTCAAAAGAGAGACAATTAAATCAATATCGGGAGGGGGGAAAAAAATGTCGCCTTGACGGCTTGTTTTCACGTTAAGGGCTGCCAGCGCGGATTACCATGCGCCATCACGCCTCTGTCAACTTCTAACCCTTTCAAAAAAAAAAAGTGGGGAGTTTAAAGTTGCAGGGGGACTTTAGATCCTCCACTGGAGGCCCTGCTCTTGCTTAACATTTACTGGAACGTGTGAAGGGCTGGAGATGTGAATTATCACCACTCAGGCTGCCATCACCACCAGCAGTTAGTGAGATTATAAACCCGGAGTTCAGCATCTTCCGTCTGCGGCCTGGTGCTCTGTCTGCTTTCCACCTCGGAACTCCACAAAACCTGTTTAAAATTCTGGAACTGTCTTTTGTTCGACTCCGGTCGTTGATATCCAACTTCAAAGGCTGATCCTCATTAGCACCAGACATAGACATTCCTGTCATTTACACTTCTTTGGCAAAAAAAAAATCCCGTAATGTCTAAACCCAAGTCGCTAGACCTTAACCTTGTTTGTTTCAAGTTAGAATCTGACTGCAGAGGGGACAGGTACTCAAGTGACCACAGGCTGCTAGGCTAGGCTACGATGTGAAAATGCTAGAGGCACAGGGGGTTTAACTTCTACGTAGTACTCCGAGAGATGACCTGCTTTACTGTATGGCCGAGCACAGCAAAGCTACTGCCTGCCTTCATAGAATTCCATCAAATCCAATGGATATAATTGACTCCCAATGAGCTAATTCCCACATAAAGTTTTGGAGTTTTTGTGTGCAAAATCATACAGAATTGTATTCAACTAATTCTCCTTCAGATGCACGTTCCTTTCCCAGGGAACCTTTAAAAAGAACAAGAAGCCCGAAATAAAGGAACGGCATCAAATCACGGATAGGGATTAACCCGCTGATTGTGTGTACAAATTGGGTCCAATGTTATCGCTAGCGCTTTAGAAATTCGCTAAGAATGCCCCGGCTTCAAAAAACTTTGGGTCAGTATTTGTATTGATTTTATTTTTAACGCAAGAAAGAAAGAGAGGGGAAGGGAGGAAAAAAGTTGTCCTTTGAGTGGCTAAGCTGTCAGGAGCATGTGTGTTTCCATGGTGAGTGATTTATTGATGTTTATCAGGAATGAATAGATCAAAGGCTGCCAGATGACAGGCGATCAATCACGCATCAAATCAAGGATGGCAATCCTTTAATAAAACAGAAAAGCAGGAAAACCAGCTCTTACCAGTTTTCTCCCAACAACATCCTAAGCAGAAAGCTTCTCAGAAAAGTGCGGAAAGGGTGTATTCAGCGACTGCATGTGCTTATGTACATTAGGATATATTTCTGTGTGTACGAGCGAAACACGTATTTTCCCCGACAGCCTTAGACCTTGCAAATACTCTATTTCCTCTGAGCCTGGCTGAGACCTTAAGATATTTAATTAATATCGCATCAATCTATAATTAAAAAGAGTGACATTTTCCGTGCTACGGAGCAAACAACCAGATTCGACCACCTATATTAAGAAACGGAAGTGCTTTTCTGAAGGAAACAAAAAGACAAGAGGAGCGATGGCTGAAAGAGACTATAATTTCTAGATTAATGTCATATGATGTTCTAAGGAAAGACGCGTTAGACCGTCTGCTGACTTACCTGCGGATCGCCTGGGCGCTTGCTGCTTTCTTCTCGGCATGCTGGCTGTTCAGCACTTTCCGCAAGACTTTTCATGCAGGAGTCAAAATGAGGGGCGCTTACGAAGAAATAAAAAGGGAACTTTCTCTTCGCGGCGCTTCTTTGGATGTTTTAATTTCTTCTCTCTCTCTCTCTTTTTTTCCTTCTTCTTTTGCGGAGGCGGCTACAAGTCTCCGGATCAGTTCAGATCTCTCGCACACGGAGATCGATCTGCGTCCCCTTTCAAATGTTCGGTCGTGCCGAAAACACAAACAACCCCCAAAAGTAAAGACGGTATACGACGAGTGTATTTCGCCAACTCATAGCACGTCGAATTCAATCACGGACGCATCTCCGCACATCAGTTCATGGCAGGAAAGAGAGTAGTCAGTAGAGGTTAGTTTCAGTCACTCCCCCCCACCACCGCACACACACACACACTTCTTCATCGAAAAAGATCAAAATCTGCACTTGCCACTTTGAAACGTCTTCTTCTTTGACAAAAAAAAAAAGAAAACAGAAAACTCCCACGGTAAACCTCTTTGTTGTATTTCCGTTATCAGTCCCCTTTCAGTTTCCAACACTGAAAACGGAAAACGAAGAGAAAAGAGACAGGCATTAGGAGGTTAATGATGTCAGTCACTCCGCCACCTCAGACAGATCAAACGACCCGGAGTGGCTCGGTTGCTACTTACACAGTGTAGTAGTCAGAAAATATTATTCTCGTCGCCGCTGCGAGTACATGCGAGCACTTCATCCGGAGCGGTACGCGAAACTGAGTGGGGCAAAACAAACAAAACACAGACATCTACTCTCGGGGAGAGATGGACATGAACTAATTCTCCTTCTTAAACTCCAGGGAGCGAACCAGGGTCTCGTCTCCTCAGTAAAAATGTAGCACACATTCGGGATCCAGGAGGGTTTCAGACAGCCTCAACTGATAGACAGACACATCGAGTGGCTTTTCCTGCTCTGCTCTTACTCCTCCCCTCGCTGCGAGCGTCACTCTGACAGTAAAACCTACCTGTCCATCTTTTTAATTGTCTTGTTTTTTTCCTCTGAACTCAACGGCTTGACAAAGGAAGACTTAATACATCACTGATGTGGAAATGTTACTAAGAAACCTCAAAGCCTTTGCATTGCTACTCGCGCTTATTAATCGTGTTTTAGATGCGCTTATTGTTTTAGGCAAATAAAGGGCATGTCTACTTGATGTTGTTGTTATTTTTATTATTGTTGTTATTGTTATTGTTATTATTATTGTTGTTGTTGTTGTTGTTGTTGTTGTTGTTATTATTATAGTTTACATGCTGATTGTAGGTCTGCATTACAGAAAAACGTCAACAAGTATCTAAAAACTTTGAAAATAGTTACTGCAACTCTTTGTCCTAACAAAACTAAAGACAGATATTTAGCTTGGAAAAAAAGCAAAATAACATTATTAATAGATAGTGAGTAAGAAAACCAGCTTGCATTGGTGCGCCCATAGGCAGGCCCAAAGATAAAGAAAAGGTAGTAAAAGCGTTATTCGTTAACTTCGTATCGCTAGCGATTTTTCCTCTTGGTATACTGCAGTTTCAGAGTTGAATCTGAAGCCTGGTGACAGATTTGTTGTTTTTTTTTTCCTTAAACTCGCAGGTCTGGAGTAGCTGGGTCTGTGCTGTATCGGGGGAGCGATTTCTATGAGTGTTTGAGGCAGCCCCATACTAATATAACGGGGCCGCTCGCGTTTAGCAAATTGCATCCTATAACCTCATTGTGCAAAAATTCATCTCTTGCATTTTTTTTCCAATTTTTTCCACCCCTGTCTGAAAGGGTGTTAGAAACTGCAGATTGATTCGTTACACCTTACTAGGAAGTGAATATTTCGCACGGGAAGGGGAGGGACTCCGAAAGCTTAAAGCAAGTCCAGTGTGAATGTATTAAGGTTCTGTAGTAGTCTTTACATATTCATCAATTGTAAACATCCACAAATTTTAATAATAGAATTAAGCCGATGAAGCAGAGATTCCGACAGTATTTTTGTGTAGAAAACCCAATATTTAAATAAAAAAACAGCTTGTGTTAAACCTGCGGCGCTGTAAGGACGATAGCTAAATGCAATATATGCACAGCGAGTGTCCATGAACTTCGCTCTATTTCTCTTGCAATGTCCACCTCTTTTTTAGTTAGTGGTAGGAGGGTGTTTTTAGCGCTCGACGGGAGACACGGAATTAGAAACACACTTTTTGGATCGCGTTTAGTTTCAGTCCCACGCCGCTCCATAATAGATATGTCGTATTCCTCCCACTTCATGGATTTTAAAGGTTCGGCAATACCTAGCTCCATGAAAAAGCTGGTGGTGACGAGGCTTAGCCCAAATTTCAGAGACGCTGTATCTTTGCAAACTGTTCCCGTCCCGACACCCGGAGATGCCGAATTGCTCATCAGAAATCGGTGAGTTTTTTTTAATTCTATATATATATACACTTAATCATTTTGTGAATAAAAGGACTATTTCCGCTGTGATCGTCGAAGCAACCTTTTTTGTGTCTTTAAAATATGATAACATTATCTGAATAATCGCCTGTATATGCTCTGGAATAAATCCTTACCTCTTTCTCTGCAGCTACGTTACTGAGTTATTGCCAGTTGTAATCAAACCAATCATTTGTGCAGAATGAAGGTTGGAGGGAGCTAATAATGTGGAAATATTTCCAAGTTCCGCCCTAACATCTGTCCATCCATCCATCTCCGCATCTGTCTCTATCTGTCTCTATTGATGTTTCCCTACGTCACTAACCCGCAATCAGAAACTCGGTGGGGAGCAAAACGGGCAGAAATAGTGAGAGAGATTGAGAAATTGCTATGTTCGGCATTCGGACTGCAGTAAAAACCAACACGCCCAGGCTTCATTAACCTCTGTGCATACGGCATGGTTTCCCTTCAACGATATTTTTTAAGAAACTATATATTAAAAACAGTTCATAATCTATGCTTTGAGCAGATAAGAGAGAAAAACCAACCTCCAGAACGTACGTCTGAGGCACCAAGTGATTAATAAATTACTTGATTTCAGCATTAGTATACTGTAATCCGTAATGCGTTAGTGTAAATGGTGGCTGTGTGGAAATGTTTAAGTCCGAATAGCGATATAAAGACTGACTTCCACGACCGGGGACAGTGAGATTGTCGTGGAAGTCACAGTTGTGTGAAAAGAAATTCAACTTTTTCTCTGCTGTCCACATGTTGTATTTATATCCGGTTGTTTATTTTTGTAAAGAAAACCTTTGTGTACAGCAAAGGCATTTCTTCCCGTAGATGGCTGTAAATATTTCGAATTGATTGCATTTAGTATGTCAAGTCTCAGATTGTCTTCCACAACTGAAACTGTAGAGAAGCTAAATAATCCTAGCACTACAACCTACTGTAGATAAAATGGCCCTTTCTCTCTGTAAAATGTTTATTATTTGCAATTTAGCTTATCACTTTTTGTTTGTTTGCTTTTCTATTTTGAAAAATTCAAATGGGAAGTTCTTGGGAGCGATGCTGTGTCTTAAGTAAATAGGGTGAGCAATTCGCATTCGGTTTAGAAAATCTAAATTATTAATAAGATAATTCTTTTTCCAGGAGTTCCTAAGGATTAAAAAAGATCAGATTTAACCAAGTTTATGTAAGAAATAATGAGGCAATTAACGTCGCGATTAAAAAGGAGGCATTCAAACCTTAAGGTTTGGACGTGGTGTAGCAATCTCATTCGTCTTTTCAGATTTAGAACTGTTGATGGGACATTTAAAAATCAATCTCAGGACAGCCGATTCTAATCAACGAGTGTTTTAATTTTTAATTCATGTTTTTTTAAAATTAAAAAATGTGTTCACGACAACACAAATACTTAGTGTTTTTTATGTTTAAAAAGAAATGTACTGTAGATGGTCAAAGTTTTGCTTTAGAGAATGAGTTTTTACACTTTTCCTATTACGATTGTCCATGTTAATTATGTTTCTGATGACAGGCTACTTATAAGCGTACTCCTTCAAAATAATTTTAAAAAGTTGCATTGGTAAAGGTTTCAGAAGTGAATGCGAGAGCATCCTCCTGTTCTGTTTGAAATGTTCTCCGAATTTACAGACATCTTCAAGAAAACCGAGAAGATAAAGCATTTTATTTCTTTTCTGATTGTGATGTCTAATTAGGCAGGTGAGGTTGCACGCCATGTCACAGTTTAGTCTTTTAAGAAGGTATATGCTTTTCGAATTCAATAATTATTGTTACAGAAAGAAGTGAATATACTTGTCACAATTTCAACGTGGTATTACTGAAATTCGTTTGTGGAAATGTTTTTGTTACTATAGATCAGTAATAAGTTTGTTGCATTTTCTTCTCCGAAGTCCCAACCAAACTGTTCAATGCTTACAGGTTTCTCAAATACACATATACACCCTTAAGACTGTAGTATTTAGCATTATTTTCTCGAAGGCAATTTGATTATCTCGGGAGTATTTGGGCCAGAAATTCTGGAGATATCTAAAATTGCGTTTAGCGTAAAATGAAAATAATGCGGTTCGGATGAAAGTATTTCTTATTGCTATTAAATCGCCATTACTGCAATTCTTCTTCTTATTTTACAATGGAACTAATTATTTATGTGCTTAGATCTCTTTTAAATTGACATATGAAATGTTGAAATTATATTAGGTAGGAGTTTTAACGAGAACTCCAGTTTATTTAGCCTCACTCAGAATCTTTTGAGTCTTCAAGCGCAGAAAAGGTTCAAAGCCTTCAAGGTTGCAGACCTGAGTGCACAGCAAAGAATATCAAAGACCTTTTAAATGTGGATCTTTGTAAACTGTGACAGTTGTTGTGGAAAGGGGGTCATCTAGACATTTAAGAATACGCCTTTATAGGCTTACATTACTTGGATTGTAATAAAAGAGCTTTAAAACGCACCACACGCATCAGCAAATAAATCACAGAAATCCGCTGTAAAAACGTCGCGAATATAGGTTACAGAGAGGTAGCTAAAGTGCTGCAAGAAACTAAGGTTCCCATTTTAAGAGGAAATCGAACTGGAGGAAAAAAAATGCTCCAAAGAGATTAACACTGATGTGCTAATGTGGCACAATGAAAATGATTTGGATAGTTTTCAAATGTTATTATATCAGGGTTCATTGTCAAAAGGCATTTTTTTTTCAGTGTAAAAATATCTTATTTTTTTGAGGGGAGTGGTGTTGGTAAATCGTCTGAGCTGTCCTGTTATTAAGTTGTTTCCTTAGCGTGTGTTTGCATATTTAGCGCGCAGCGCGACAAGTTAGTTATCTCGCTGTTAACCGCACTGTCCTGTCTCTAAAGGCAAGGACTGCTGCCTGTTTTAAGGTGACAGATTTTGTTCTAGGTTTACTTTTTGTATCTCGGACAAGTTAGCTTCAAATAGTCAGATGTCTGTTGGTATGTGAATAGATGAGCACAGCCTCCGAAACAGTTAGTGCTCGTAGCGCCCTTGGAGAGGAATCGGCGAACTGCTGGGCGGCTAGGAAGCGCTCCGCTTTTGCTGTGCCAGTGGTCTGCGTGTTTTTATAACACCTTCTTTTAATTCTGAGCAACCTTTCTTAAGATGAAAACGCATATCTAACACATATATTAAAGTTTAAAAAGTTGCACACAAATCATTGTTTTAATTATTTTTATTTAAAAAAAGTAGATTTAACTTTATTTTTCACGTTGGGGCGCTCCATCATTGCGCATCCTTTGAAGACACAGCAAGTGCTGTTAACAATAATAACGGCAACAATAATGACATCCAATTTATTCGTCAATAGATGAATCCACACTTTTCATAAATAATGTTAACAAATAAAATTTCACGTCTTTAGTTTTGCATAGATTCTTAAAACATTTGAATTGTTCGACAAAAACTGTTTTTTCAATCATTCGTGCCTATTTGTGATCGCTCTGTAGTTTAGGGATCTAGTAATTAAACCTGGAGCTGGTACGTCCTGGATGGCCTGTATATTTCCTTCTCTACCTAGTACATCTCGGCCTTAGGACGTGCCAGCGGGGTGGCAAGGGAGAGAGGGTAGGTCTTACTTAAAGCGTGAAGCGGGACGTTAACTGGTGGATTTTATTACATTTGTAATTATATATATGTTGTGTGTTTTTATTTGTCCACGCGCGCACCCATTTTAAAAGACGATTTGATCTAGATTTTAAAGAAAAAACGGGTCTCTGCAGAAAAATGTCCTGCCATCTGAGAGTCAATTGATTGCAGATGCTGGCGTCGGAAAACAGTGAAATTAGTTAAATAAACTCGAGAGCTCCGATACATAATGGTAGAGAGATGAGAAGCGAGATATTCCCACAGGTCTAGCCTTTGATTTTTAGAAATGGAAAAGTGTGGATATTTTTCATTTGCACTTTTTCTTCCTTGTTATGAGGTTAGTTATATTTTATATCGGTGGATTGGGTTTACTGTTATCTATCGGGGCCCAAGCTGTTGAGAGCAGAGAATGGAGGGGTGGAGAGATGCTGAAGTATCAGCACCCCGGAGAAGCGTGCCTTCAGGGCACGTCCTGAGCATCTGGGAACGGTATGAATAGTGTTGCAAGAGTACCCGTCTACCTGTTTTCCGACTGGTACAGTACAGTGCCCTGACCATAATGCCGTCAGAGACTCAAATCAGAGCTGTATCGGTTCGCAGTGGAGACGGGGAATCGGGAGACAACAGGAATCGTCAATCGCTACTTAGGTTAAATTTACATGTACTGTATTCAGCTATCAGGTAACCTTCCTGCAGCGTGTTCACCTCGCTCCTTCTCCGATTGTTGTCAGCTGTGTCTGGAGCCCCTGTAGTAAATGAATTTCGAACTACTGCGTTCACCTCTTCTGATAGAGGATTTCGTATAGGCTTAGTCTAGTTAGTGCGCTGATCAATTTATTTGGGATGAACAATCAAGGAAAACACATTTTTGTTTGCGTTTGGATTTGCACCTGACCTGCTCCTTTGAAAAATTGAAAAATTCATGGTTCTTGGCTCATTTTGTGAGATTTATATATAATCAAATGTTAAATTGATGTAATCTGTGGTGTCACAGATCTAAATAATAGCACTCCCTGACTGAAATCTCTCAGTTCACCTGAACTCTTTTCTACTGCTTGCAATGATAGATCAGTGTTCTGTACACCTTAGAAATCACTGATTAATATGTACTGTTAATGTTGATTAAACTGTGAATCAGTGTACAGTATGTCATACTTGAAAATGTACTGTATGTATGTAGAACATATATACAATATATATATATACAGTATGTTCCTAGAACAAGGCACGGGCAGCGAGTATTTAAAATAAGCTGCGATACTGTAAAAATGCATAGAAATGACTGTTTAGAAAACAGGTTCTATTGGCTGCTCTGTGCATGCTGTGCCTTGGTCATTAAGTTCATGGCCCCATGGATGATTCAGTTCAGATACCTAAGTTTTTCAGCCAACCGGTATCACCCTGCAGTTTGATTCATAGGTAAAGAGAGCTGGGAAATATCTTCTTGCGCGTGTCCCCGCTACATGCATACCCTGTTCAAGAAAGTGGAAAAAGTCACGCATTTGCAACAATTAGGGGTTTAAAAAAATCCTCTTGCATGTTCTGTTGAAAGACTGTGCTGTTTATAGAAAGATGTTTTCATATAAAGCACAGAATAGACAGTCTGCAGTGAGGTAATTTTTAGTGATTTGAACTTCCTTCCCTAGGTTTGCTTAAACAATCATTGCAGTAGGGTCTTGCGAGAGTAGGATGAGTGGAGGGTTTATTTCAAAACCTTTTGATTTCCAATGCTTAAATGGAGACTCTGGAAGTACCAATGGCCTAGCATGTTATCTCACTCAGTCTCCTTTGATTTCGTAGAGCTGCAAAACCATATTTCTGCAGATCTTCTTGCCGTTTTGTTTTACGGTCAAAAAGCAGGCAGAAAATACATCATGTAAAGGTAGTAGTTCACAATTGTAAATTGTTCGCATCTCTTGGGCATCATGACTGACAGTGTGAATTGTATAGCCTTTATTAAATTGTGCTAAATTTTGCCAGTGTGAGTATTTTTATAAACAGTAACTTTAGAAAAGGAGCAATTCTCCAAACATTAGAACAAAGTGTTCTGTGGCCATAGACTGTTGTAATTACACCTCAAACGGTTTTGTGTATCCTGTGCTGCTGTGGGTCACGTGTAAAGATGAGTCACAGCTCAATGAAGTTGGACATTTGGAAATTAGACTCTTGTTTCAAAATCCAAGCCAACCAATATTAAAACATCATTAAAAAGATTTAAATGTGTATTTTGTACTTGAATCTCTCTCCAGTCAGTGAATCTCTGTGGTATACAATGTGTTTTGTTGCAATACAACCATGTTGTGTCAGAATTTCTTCAGGAAGTTTTCCAGGAAGATGTGAATCACTGACAAACTAAACTGAAATGTCTTGATGCTGCAGATGCACTGAGCAGATTGAGACTGAAATCTTGAATCTCAGACAAAGGGTTTGAAGTGCTTGCTTTGAAGGAAACCCTTTAAACAGCTACAGTATTTAATAAATACATAATGATCCAAATTATTCCTAATTTATTATATGCAGGATGGCATCACAAATGTTTCCATTGATATGCATGTCAACTTTAAACATTCACCAACAGTAACATGTTTCAGTTCCTGTTTTCCTTACATGCACACTGAGGCTTTGTTAACTGTCATGCTGTCTGCAAAAGCACATCTCCCAGTTCCTTTTTCATGGCATGTGACCAGTTCTTTTTTTCCCCCCCCATTTAGATTTGTTGGCATCAATGCATCTGACATCAATTACTCTGCCGGCCGCTATGACCCCACAGTCAAACCGCCTTTCGATGCAGGGTTTGAAGGCATTGGTGAGGTAGTAGGACTTGGCCTAAGTGCCAGTGCCCATTATGCAGTGGGCCAGGCAGTGGCCTACTTTGGAGAAGGGGCCTTTTCCGAGTACATCGTTGTGCCCGCTCAAAAAGCTGTCCCCGTGCCTGGGGTGAAACCGGAATTCCTCACCCTGCTGCTGAGCGGAGCCACTGCTTACATCAGTCTGAAACGGCTGGGCGACCTGTCGGCGGGAGAGACGGTGTTGGTGACGGCAGCGGCAGGGGGAACCGGTCAGTTCGCCGTGCAGTTTGCCAAGAAGTCCCAGTGCCATGTCATCGGGACCTGCTCCTCGGACGAGAAGGCTGGCTTCCTGAAGTCCATCGGCTGCGACCGCCCCGTCAACTACAAGGCCGAAGACCTCCACGCGGTCCTGCGGGGGGACTACGCCAAGGGCCTGGACGTGGTCTACGAGTCTGTCGGCGGTGAAATGTTTGACCTGGCTTTAAACTGCCTGGCCACCAGGGGGCGGCTGATCGTCATCGGCTTCATCTCCGGGTACCAGACGCCTACAGGGGTCAAGCCGGTAAGGGCTGGGACCCTGCCAGTCAAGCTGCTGCAGAAGTCAGCCAGCGTGCGCGGGTTCTTTCTGCCTCACTACCTCACCGAGTACAGGGAGGCCATGAGGCATATGCTGGAGATGTACGAGAGGGGAGAGCTGGTGTGCGAGGTGGATCTGGGAGAAACGGCTCCAGAGGGAAAATTCACCGGCCTCGAGTCCGTGTTCCGTGCTGTAGAGTACATGTACTCAGCTAAAAACATAGGAAAGATTGTAGTTGAACTGGCTCACCCTGTTAGCAGCAAGTTGTGAGGTGGTCACCATTTAAGAAAGTATCAAACATAGATACACGGGTAACAAAATTGAAATGGCCTGATTGATAAATCAATTGAATTTCGCTAGTTTGATTAGTAAGCAGTGATTTATAGCCATTTGCTGGGATTTGGGGATTAAGAGTTTGAAACAATCATTATTCCGACATGGTGTTAATTTAATTATTAATTTTTACATTAATGTATTAAAAGAAGGCGTTTAAAGGATCCCCTTGATCCACCTGCGTGCTTCAGGTTAAAAAGCTTGATTTGCAAGCCGGGGAAAAGAAAGAATGGGAATTGTTGAAATTGCAGGGATGCAGAAAGGGGTTAGGAAAATTCTTTTGTCACGTTTACAGTAAAGACGAGCTAAAACGTGAAAGGAGAGGAGTGTAATGGCCTCACAGATGTCACAAAAACAAACGTATGTCATGCAAAACATCAGCAGCTCTGACCTTTTGTTTTGTTCAACCTGAAATGTTGACATGTTCAGCCTAAATCCTCATTTTCCTGACATCAAGCTCCTCTCTCGGGATGGCACTCTGTCCCCGGCTGCAATCCTGTTCAAATAGACAGGCCTTTCTCCCCATGTTGTCCTGCTGGCTGGAGAGGAGGCAGCCAGCTCGGGCGATCAATGTGGCTGATCACAACCTTCAAGCCGATGCCCTCTCGCAGTGCCCTGTAAAGATCTTGCACTTCTTATTTTTCAGCACAAAATAAAAAAATATATATATATTTATTGTGGGGGTGTGCCTTGTTTTTTTGTCTTTGACTAGACGGCTGGATGTTTTATAAAGCCAAATGATTTTGAACTGGTTTTAAATTAAAGTGAGTTAAGATGAAAGGATTTAATAAGACTGAAATCTGAACATTTTTTTGTTCTTTGCAGTATCATCTGCTCCAGGCCTGCTTGCAGGTTCTGTCCGTGGTGCTGATGCCTCTCTCACTTCAGATTTTGTCTGTGTAACACTTGCCAGTGTTGCCAGACAAATTGGAAAGGGCCAGAGTATTTTAACCAAGATGCTGATGTGCTGTTTGTGTCATTTCTCGGAATTTGGAGTAATTAAACCACAAAGTTTTCAAGGTTTATGTGCAGTGAAAAAAGCACAGTCTTTTACTTTGTTGGCTAGATTCATTGTAACCGAGCATCCAGTATTGGGAACTGGAGCATTGAGGCTTTGGGCTTTTGTTGGCATGTGTGTTTAGTCATACAGAAGTTTATAAAGATACAGCCATCCCATATTATAATGAACATCCTCCAAGCAGAAAATAGTTAAAACTTCACATCCGTGGTATGCATATTGTACTGTAAAAGCTTACTGCATAGCCACCTGCCTCAGACACAGCATAAGGCTTGAGGTCACATGACCTTATGTCGATGCTACCATTTGTTTATGTTTTTGTGCTGGGTGCTTTCTGAAGACAGCCCATTCTAACATGAGTATAACCGGGACTCTGTCTAAAATCTAAAATAAACGTGTGTATATAGCTTGAGCAGTACCCCATAACATTTTTCTTCTTTAACTGATCTGTATTAGAACAAAGTGTGACCAGGTTGGACTGTGCTCCTGCGTAGCCCCAAAAGTGTCCAATGAGCAGGACAAAACGTGGCATGTTATAGGTAAATGCACAGGAGAACCATTGGGCATATTTACTGTAGAAGCACATTTGGAGGATTAGTGAACTCTAATTATCACTATTGTATCAAGCATTTAAATAGGGAGAAGCCCTGAATCCTAAACAAGCTGAAGGAACATGGCTAAAAGAAAACCTTAATTGTATTAAACTAATGAATACATTTACATTTAACTGAAGGTGCTCCTGTAAGTGCACAATATGAAAGCTTGCATAAGTTTACAATTCTAAGGTGTGATTTTTCACTTTAATCAGCACTAATCTCAGGTAAATTTACATGAAGAATAAAATGTAAATGTTTAATTCTATATATAGACCCCATTTATTTTTCTAGGCAATGCATCTGGATAAATAGCTTTAACATCAGATGATCAGATGAATGATAAAGTGAAAGTCTAGATTAGTAAAGCTATATAGAGGTGGCTCACAAGACATGGCCATAAACCTGTTGGAAATGAAGGGTATTTTCTGGTCTTGAGACCACCTCATGAAAACCAAAATGCCCATACTCTCAGATTGACATGTAAAAGCAATGTTGTCTCACCAGTGTACACGCCAGGGGACAGAAATCATACTTCTCTCCACTGTGAGAAACAGGCAGTAGGCGCCAGTCGAGGCTTTAGTGAGCTTGAATATACACAGAAGTACACTGGAATAACTGACCTATGGCTGGATTCTGAGTGGCATGACAGAGCAACCTACTGCAACAGGCTTGTGCCCTCCTTTTCCTGCAAGGATCAATTAAATGCTAGGTGCTTGATGTCACATCACCATTTAAGATGATATCCATTTTACTTTCTTTCTTCCCTTTAATGAGTGCATAATAATGAACTTGGAATGATTGGTTATTTGCCCTTATGTAGATAAATAGCCAACACTATCTCCCTTTTGTAACACTGAAATAGTTTCTAAACCAGATAGCTGCTAATTGTAGAGCCATAGAGCAGTATTGTATTTATCAGTGCATTCATGGTATTTAGTCATTAATACATTTGGTAATGGGCTAGTTTGACACTGATGGATAATTTGGATAGTCAGCAGAATGGATGAGGATTAGACTCTAGCTAAGGACATTTTCTGTACTTCTTAGGGTTGCATAAACGGAATAGCAACTTGGGCTTTCTGAAGTGGTCACCAAGCCACAGGGGTCAGTCTGATCTCGACAAAGGGAGTGGATCATATCCAACACCTCTATGGTGGAAACTGCAGTGTGAAGTAATGGGATTTAGTATGTAGTTACAGTACAGGGCCATGTTCAGGAACATATTCACCTGGACAGCAACATTACACACCAAAGGGCCATGACATTGTGAGTGTGCAGCAGAGGGTGTACAGTGAAGTTTTTGCTCCCTCTTTACTCTTTTGGAAAAACCTGTGGTCCTATGTCTGCCAACAGCCATTATTTAACTGTGCATTTTTCACTTTACAGTTGTGAATTTTCCAACTGACTTTACAAGCAACTTCTATGCATGCATGCTGAGGAATGTTTGCTTAAGCTAACGGTAGGACAGGTATAATTTTCCTTTCGATGTAGGATTTGTAGGTGCCCCATTTTGAGAGCTATTCCATAAGCTGCAGTTCTAGTTCTTACTGTATGTCAAGAGGAATCTGTCAGATAAGGACACACAATTAAAATGTCATTTTGTACATCAGAGTGGGCAGCTTAATGAAGCCTTAAGGAACAATACATTCACATCAGTTCTTTGTGAATGCATAGGGGTATTTGATCAAAATATTGTTGAAGAAACTGTAGCTTTAGTCATTTTGTGGCTGATGAGCAGCTCTAGATTCATAATTAAAATAGCTTAAAACCCACAGAAAGTGGCCAGTAGTTTTTTCACGTTTTGATGGTCCTGCATAATATTAAGGAGCACTAGAGAATAAGCTATTGCATAATGGAATGTTCAATGTCCACATCTAATGACATTTAGCATCAGACGGAGTGCTTTAGTGTAAGAGAGAGGTTAAATTAAATTTACCTTACGTATTATAAATAATCCTGTCACTTTTCTGGATTCACCTTATTCTGCAATGTCAGAGTACAGCTGATATTTTTTTTTTGTTTTTAAGCCTTTACCCTTCCTCCTTTTCAGATAGTTTCTGTGGACATAATCGCATCCTAAATAAATGTAATCTATCACAGGCTTTATAGTTACAGTTGTGCTTAAGGAAAATTAGTCTGGCAAACAAATACTGTACTTTAAATCAAAATCCTGTGCTTTTTCAGATTTAAATTTAGTTTAAAATTTGTCTCAGTCACCAAGCTTGTTCATCACATTTGCAGTTTATTTAGGATCGCAGTGTCCCCATTAAAGCTATAACAGCTTTCTCTTTATAGAAACTGGGTTGTGTTTGCCATAGTTTTGTCACAGAGTGCACGGATTGGCTGAGACAGCTTGAGAAAGAAGACCTGTATGAAGGGATTCACCTGTCCTCTGTGCTGATGTTTGGGATTCAGAGGTACAGTGGAATTAGCAACAATGAATTATGCATTCCAGGTGGGGGTATATTAAATCAGATGCTCAGATCTAACACCAGTTTTAAAAGAAATATATACAGCTGTGAAAGTAGTCTGTTGCTATTTTAATTCCCTAGTTCTTCCTGCCTTGACCTTGAGAATTTAATTAGAAGTTTAGCTTGGTCTCAGACCAAACACCCAATTGCCGTAAAAACAACGGGATGGGGGAGGTTTTATACTAGTGAGGTTGGAAGACGTAGGAACCCAAAATGCACGTCTACCATTTTTAGTGCCAAAAAAAAAATCTACCATGAAGAAATTTCCATGTGATGGGGTACCTGAGGTAAAGTCAAACATTCTTGTTCCTGCAAGTAGCCAAAATAATTAAAAGTAATTGTTTTACTCAGTTACCATACAGTATAAAACGATTACCACACAGATGAAAACCTTTCCTAGCCTTTTTAATTTTTTGTCTTTGTGGATAGCCATGACTTAAAAATATAATGGTGACAGTTTTTGACCCCTTAGACTTACTTACATTCGTTTTTAGTGGCACAGTTGTTGCTGAGAGACATTAAGGTTTTCTGAAAAGGACCTTTCAGATTCCTTAACGTGAACAGAACACGTAGTTTACTGTCAAGTCGTCGACAAGTCTCTATGCTTTTGTCCAACATAAACTACAGTATGTATTACTTCATCCATCCAAACATTTGCTCAGTATCTCTTACACTCTTGATTTATAAGATACACCTGAGTGAAGGTCACTATACTGCCCCAGCACCTTGAGACTTTCGGAAAAGACACACTGCTTTTATTCAGTAGAATAAACTAAGGTCAATGATGCAATTTAGCTTGGCAGCTGCTATCACAGTTATATTCATTCCCCTGTATTTTCACAGGTTTTGAAAGTGATTAAGTCATTTTTTTTAAAAAAAAGAGCTTTGCCTGCCCAGTGCTGGTGTTGCCATATTCAGAGTGTGTTATGTAATGAGACAGTAGGTGTCCTGACTCAGTCTTGACTCATTGCCTCAACAATGTGGTTGGTCCCATTGGCCATTCCTGACTCCAAGCTGTGGTAATTCTTCATTGTCAAATTCCCTTTCCTGGCAAAGAGCACCACAAAGGCACTGGGCTTAGAACAGAACACCCCAACACAGAACTCGGAAGTGCTCTGCCTCAGTACTTAACTCATGTCCTCCATAATTGCACCCATGTAAAATTTAGAGTGGGCTATAATGTTCTCCCACTCACATACAAGGGACTGAATGGCTTCTTGCAAGTTATGTTAAGGATTGATTGCATGAGTGCAGTCCAGATATTAACCTGAGCCCCTGTAGAACACTGCCCAAATCTATTAGAAAGGTATCGCTGCTTGGCAACTTCAAGAGGTGTCCAAGCTATGGACAATAGTAAGTTATATACACATATTCCTTTGCAATAGATCAAAGCCAAGACAAGACAAATCCAGAATTAGAGAGATAGTCTGGAGCATTCCATTACAATGTAATTCCATTGAAAAATAAAGATTCTGGAGCCATTTCATGCCAATAAATACTTACAATAAAAGGGTGAACATAAGTTCATAGCCTCTTATAACTTGTGAAAACAAATAATGATGCAGTTTAAAAATGAGTTCTGTTGACTCT